ATCAGCCTGGGCAACGTAGCAAGACTTGTCTCTCCAAAAATGTTTTTAAAATTAGCTGGACATGGTGATGCACACCTGTAGTCCCAGCTACTGGGGAGGCTGGGGCGGGAGGATTGCTTGAGCCAAGGGGCTTGAGGTTGGCAGTAAGCGATGATCATGCCACTGTACTCCAGCCTGGACAACAGAGCAAGACACTGTCTTTAAAAAAAAAAAGGAAGAAGAAGAAGAAGAAGTTTGGTAAACAAAACTTATCTGTGGGCTATCTGAGCTTATAGGCCCCACAAATCTGCAATTTCTGGTCAATGTTTCTAATGCCTGAGCTTCAAAATAAGGAAAGCAGAATAGAAGCTCAGTGGTCTCAGGGCTGAACGTGAGCACACAATGCAAAGGGAAACAATAATGATACTTAGTGTTTCTGTAACTCCTCTGTACTGGTTACAGGGGACTTTGCCTGCTTTATATGAAATAGTCTTCTTACCAACCATTAAGGGAAAAGGCAGAACTAGTTATTATGCCTGTTTTAAAGATGAGGAAACTGAGGCTGCAAGGTTAAGTCACTTGCCCAGTTACTGGCTAATACATGAAAAACGCTAGAACTGGGACCCAGTTGTTCTGAATCCAAACTCCATGCTCTCACTGCCTCCTGATTTACACACACTGTGGACAATACACAGTTTTCTCAAGAAGAGATAGGTGGATCAGCTTTCCTTAGTACCACAGTCAAGAACTACTCAACTGGGCAGGAGGATTGCTTGAGCTCAGGAGTTCAAGACCAGCCTGGGCAATGTAGTGAGACCCCTGTCTCTATTTAAGAAAAAAACAACAAAGAATTACTAAAACTTTCTCTTCTCTTTCTTTTTTTTACATTCACGTCCTTGGTCCCTTGTTCTGAGTCAAATCCTCTCTGCCTTGATGCATAGCACTCCTTGAACTCCTTTCTAAACAAGACCATGCCACCAGGTCGACTTGCCCCCCTTCCAGATCACCACATACGATGTGTTAATTACTACACTTGATCTTAGCCAAAAGGCCAAGAAGCGATTCGATGTGTTAATTAATCTTTCAACTGTCTCATATGACTGTTGACTTTCTCATATGTCTATCTCACTTTACAGATGAGAAAACCGAGGCTCTTCCTACCTCTGAGTTTCATCTTGTCCCTATTCTTTCCTATTATTAGTCCAAGGATGCTAAAGATGATACCCATGGCCAGTGCTAATTTGACAGGGTGTGGCTTTGTCTTGGAAACTAAAAGTAAACAAATTTGTCTCAATCGTTTTGAGACAAATGTGTATACTCCTCACTCTACCTATATAACACCATTCATGTCCATTCCTTGCCTGGCTAATTCCTATTCATTTTCCAGGTCTCAGCTTAGATGTCACCTCCCCAAGAAGCCTTCTCTGGTTTCCACTTTCTTGTCTAGGCTGAGTAAATTCCTCATGTGCTTTCTTCCCTTCCTTTCCCTCCTCTCCCCTCCCTTCCTTTCCTTTCCCTTCTTTCTTTCTCCCTCCCTCTCCTTCCCTCCCTCCCTCCCTCCCTCCCTCCCTTCCTTCCTTCCTTCCTTCTTTCCTTTTTTTCTTTCAAGACAGGGTCTCACTCTGTTACCCAAGCTGGAGTGTGGTCACACGATCACAGCACTGGAGTCTTGACCTCCTGGATCAAGTGATCCTCCCACCTCAGCCTCCTCAGTAGTTGGGTCTACAGGTGCATATCCCCATGCCTGGCTAATTTTTGTATTTTTTTATAGAGATGGGGTTTCGCCGTGTTGCCCAAGACTGGTCTCAAATTTCTGGGTTCAAGCAATCCTCTCACCTTGACCTCCCAAAGCTCTGAGATTACAGGCATGAGCCACTGAGCCTGGCTCTCACATGCTCTTGAAGTTTCTTGGCTTGAAATTGCAGCATGCTAAGCAATAAGGAAACAAAAATTAAAAAGCAAAACTTCCAGGAGCTCCCTATAAAGCTTAAGAATAAAAGAACGAAAAAATTATGTATGTTATTTCCTGTCTAGAGTAGTTACGACAGGCAGAGCCCTAATGGAAAAAGGAAATAAAGGATGGTATGGGATATTCAAAGGCCCTGACAGCGGACAAAAGCTGGAGGCAAGGAAATGTTTATAAGAAACACTTGTGCTCTTCATGGATGCTTTGGATGTTCCATTAAAGCTTAGAAACTTAGTTTTGAGAGAGACCAAAAATCACGTGGTACAATTCACATTCAATGCTGGAATTATATTACTCTTAAATTTGTCAGGGTCAATGTAAGTATTATAAGCTTTGTTAATTCAACAGACATTCATTAAACAACTCTGAAGTTCAAGGGAGCTGATGGTGACACAAAGTTGAAAAAGTATAAGGTGTCAGGTAGCCAGGTAGTAGAGAATAAATGGTCATTTATTTATCCACTTAGCAAACGTTTATTTCATACTCTGTGCACCAACACAATACCTTGAAAGATTAGTATTATTATCATCTCTACTTTATAGATGAGGAAATTGGGTCTCAGAAAGGTTAACTAATTTCTGAGGTTGCACAATTATGGTGCCTGGCACATTCTAAGCATCTTTTATACATTACCTTATTTACTCTGCACAGCCACCACCCATGAGGTAGGTACTTTTGTTAGCTTCATTTACATATACGGAAATGTCACACTGAAAGGGTAATTGACCCAACTAATAAATGGCAGAACCAGGATTACCTCCAGACAACCTGGTTCCAGCTTCTATGCTCTCAACCACCGTGTTCTATTGACGTATTGTTAAGCCAGTTAGAGTCAAGTCAATGTATGAAGGTCATGTAATGAAGAACAATGCAAACAATAAATGGTCAATATAACTTGCGTCAGTTCTTTCAGTTTCTTTGATTTTTCTCTTCACTCCTTATTGTCCAGTTAATTCCATTACCAAAAATAAATTGCAGAGAAGGAAAATGGCACAGTGATGTGGGGGTGATTTTGGCAACAGGTTGGGAAAATATTGCTTAGAGTGGCGGCTTCTACCCTCAGTTAACTGCAGGGTTCTAACTCTCTGAAATGTGCACATTTTAGTGTGGATGAACTTCTTTGCCTCTTTCTGGGAGAAGTTCTACAGCTTTCTTAGATTTCCCTGAGGGATCTGTGACCCATAAAAGGCTTAAAGAAAAAAAAAAGGACCAATTATTAGCCTACTGAAAGCCAATGGAACATTAGGCACGTCAATATTTTATTATAAAAAAATCTATAAATGCTATGGAGGCATTAAAATATTTAGAACAATCCTGTGGTGACACAGAAAATGTTGATGCTATAATGCCAACAACAGTTTGAAAGTGTTCTGTCCACTTTCTCAACTCTGATTACCTCCTCAATCCATGCATATTTCGCTCCTTTCTTCCAACTAGACTGTACTTATCAAGGTCACCAGTGACCTTCACCTTGTCAGATCCAGCAACCACTTCTCTATCCTCGAACTTGCAGTATAGTTGGACACCAGCTCTGCTTCTATGCCATAACTAGTCTGTTTCTACCTTACTGGCTCTCTTTCCCAGTCACAAATGCCTCACACTTGAGGTATTTAGGTATATTTAAGTCACATCTGCAGCCCAGACTGCTACAGTGACCTCTGTACAACAATGTATCCAATTGTCTACTTAACATCACTCCTGGACAAAAATGTAAGCATCTCAGACTAAGTATTTCCAGTCTGGGTGTAGTGGCTCACTCCTGTAATCCCAGCACTTTGGGAGGCCAAGGCAACAGGACTGTTTGAGTCCAGAAGTTTGATACCAGCCTGGGCAATGTAGCAAGATCCCATCTCTACAAATAACAATAATGATAATAAAAGAGCCGGGTGTGGTGGCACATGCCTGTAGTCCTAACTACTTGGGAGGCTGAGGTGGGAGGCTCACTTTAGCTCAGGAATTGGAGGCTGTGAATACTTTCAAATAATTATTAATACTATTATTGCCTTTCTTGTTCGGCTCCCAGAACAGTACCTGGTCCACAGCGGACTCTGAAGAAATAGTTGTTGAATGAATGAATGAATGTAAAATGGGGGAAATAATTATATTTTTAAATTATTTTTTAAAATTGTACATATATATATAACTGTACAATTATGCTTAACAATATGCTACGCGTAGACATTAAAGGCGTGGGAAAAACACCAAACATTAACAGTGGTTGTGTGTGAAGTTAAAAGATTTTTCTTTAAAACTCCTTCTCTATTTTTCAATTTTATTTACAGCATAGTGGTTAAGAATACCAAAATTTAGAGTCTGAGTGAAGACTACCAGTTACCAGCTGCACAACCTTGGTTTCCTCTTGTGTCAAATTGGCTTAAAAACATACACAGTACCGGCCGGTTAGTGGTGGCTCACACCCGTAATCCCAGCACTTTGGGAAGCTGAGGCGGGCGGATTGCCTGAGCTCAGGAGTTCGCGACTAGCCTGGGCAAAAAGGTGAAACCCCGTCTCTACTAAAATACAGAAAAATTAGCCGGGCGTGGCGGCGTGCGCCTGTAGTCCCAGCTACTTGAGAGGCTGAGGCAGGAGAACTGCTTGAACTAGGAAGGCGGAGATTGCAGTGAGCCGAGATCGCGCCACTGCACTCCATCCAGCCTGGGTGACAGAGTGAGACTCCGTCTCAAAAAAAAAAAAAAAAAAAATCTATCTATCTCTCTACATACAGAGAGATAGATATAGATATATAGATAGATGCAGTGCCTGCTTTGTATTAACATCGCTAATAAGCTTTACTGTGAAATTATGGATAAAAGGATCTTTGCACGGTGCAGGGTACATAGTGAGGGACAGTAATGATGATGGGACAGTTGATAATGATGACAGGTATGCTTTATTTTATAATGAAAATACATTTATCTTCTAAACCTTTACCAATGGGTGTGAAAAGGACACCTCCCCCAAACTCCCGCCCTTATGTGCGCAGCCCCGCCTCCTGTAGGCCCCTGCCAAAGGCTGCGCCTGCTCCGTTCTTTTTTTCCGTCCACGTGACCCACTCAGGCTCCTCCTTGTCTCCAACATGGCGGCGCCCAGGGGCTCAAGTCGCACGTGAGAAAGTCTGGGCATTTGGGAATCGGAGACTACCGCCTGTGAGCCTCTTTCCCCTCCTTGCTGTCGGTTGCATCCCTTCGACCCTCCCGAGGCCGTCGCGGGCCACTGCCCCTCTGCAGCCATGAAGACAAAGCCCGTTTCCCACAAGACGGAGAACACCTACCGGGTGAGCGCCGGAGGTTGGGCAGGGAGCCGCGGGTCTCCGCTGCTTGAGTCGTGAGACAGGCTCTGAGCTAGACTCCAGGGGCCTCAGACTTCTGGGCCGAGTGTGTCACTTGCCCGGAGGCTCCGGCGAAAGAGGGAGACTCTGGATGTAGTAAACATGGGTTGGGGGAGGAAAGAAGTCTGGACAGCAAGTTTCACCCATATTTTATGGTGTCTGGCCAGTCCTGGGAATTTCTTGTGGTCCAGAATTAAATTCACTATTCCAGGAGATTGCTTAGGACCGATTCTCCCCTGGTCTTTTATCTTTAAAGACCGAATTGGGCGAGCTGGCTGGCAGTGAGTGATTCCCAGCTAAGGGCAACTATACAGCGCTTTCTCTGTTGGCCCCTTGGTAGATAGCTTCCAGGTCTTCGTTAGGATACAATCACAGGTCTGTATATGTTTAAAAACACTTTTGTTGCAGCGACTTTGCTATGTCCCCATGCTTATGGGAGGGTATGAAACCTAACAGATCTAGCGAGACTAATTGCCAGCATCCACCTAGGCTCATCAGTCTAGCAATGGAAATTTTATTTGAAATGACATAGCTGAGAGAAATTATGCAAACAGAAGTATTCATTATCTTTGAATGGTGCAGTACGTTTGTTTACGGCCCTGTGTTTTTCAGTTTATTTTTCCACTTATCCTTTGTGATTAGAGATGCCTACATGCAGCATTCAAATAGATATTAAAGATCTGATAAATATTAAATAATTATGTATCTTAAATATACTTTCCCTTCCAGTTTCTTACATTTGCTGAACGACTGGGGAATGTGAATATTGATATTATTCACCGGATTGATAGAACTGCAAGCTATGAGGAGGTAAGAGAATGTGATACTAGCCAATCTTCCAAGTGTTCATGGTGTTTTAGTTTCTTCTGTTAGTAGAAGTGAATTGTTTTTCAAGGTATTCCTTTTTGGGCATGAAATGCATTAGACCTGTGCTGTTTCATACAGTAGCTACACATGACAAATTGGATTTAAAGTAAGTTTAAAATGTGAGTGCTCAAATGTGGCTAGTTGCTAACATATTGAATAAATATAGAATTGGAACATTTTCATCTTTGCAGAAAGTTCTATTCGGTGAAGCTCTATTAGACAAGTGACTTGACTTTCAACTGACTTTTGTGATTCTAGCCTCTCCCTTTCCCATATGCATTCCAAGCACTGCTGCAGATCCATATTCCTGAAACTGTAACTTTAAAGTGATTTTGAGCAAGCCCTTTTCCCGGGACTTAATTTTCTCCTTTATAAAAATAAAGGGGCTAGACTACATAATATTTTCCAGTTCTAACCATACTCTGACTCTGTCATCCCTTTATTTTATTTTTATTTATTTATTTATTTTTATTTTTTATTTTTTTCTGAGACAGAGTCTCGCTCTGTCTCCAGGTTGGAGTGCAGTGGCGTGATCTTGGCTCACTGCAATCTCCGCCTCACAGGTTCAAGCGATTCTCCTGCCTCAACCTCCTGAGTAGCTGGGATTACACGTGCGCACCACCACACCCAGCTAATTTTTGCAGTTTTAGTAGAGACTAGAGACGGGGTTTCACCATGTTGGCCAGGATGGTCTCAATCTCCTGACCTCGTGATCCGCTCGCCTTGGCCTCCCAAAGTGCTGGGATTACAGGTGTGAGCCACCGCACCCGGCCTTGTCATCCTTTTATGCAGAAGTCTTTTTCTGCATCATGTCATTATTCCTCCTAGCTTTTTAAGGTCCTGTGTAACATGCCTATGCCTTGGAGATCCAATCTCAGTTCTTACTGTTCTTCACTTTACTATAATCAGACTCCACTCACTGTGTCTTTGAATGCATTATCTCCACCATGTAAATTCAATGTGTTAAATGATGTTGTCTAGGTGAGCACATTGTGCTTTGGGAACTCATAGTAAAGGGAACCTAACCTACATTCTTTAGGGGTGTCAAAAAAGGTGATCTAGATGAGGTGACACCTGAATTGAATCTTGTTTATATAGGTTTTAGCATGGTAAAGAGGACAGGAAAGGCTCTTCCAGGCTGAGGGAGAAGCCTATATAAAGGAACAGAAGCTAGAGAATGCATGTCACATTCAAGAAACTGCAAAGCAGTCCAGTGTGGTTATAGGTGTGTATAGGGTGTTTTTTTTTGTATTCATGGTGACTGGGATGGGGCAAGGAGGCAGCTGATGAGATAAAGCTGGAGAGGTAGGCAAGGATCATAAAGGGCTTCATATGTCAAGCTAAGTTGGAGTTTTATCCTGAAGCTGTAGGGACTTAGAGTTCTAGGACTCTAAGCAGGGGAATGAATGACATGATCGGGTTTAAATTTTCAATCTCTGTGACTTTAGTGTGGAGAAAAGAGCAGGACTGCAGTCCTGCATCATGTCATGATTCCTCTGCTAGCCCTTTAAGGTCCTGTGTAACATGCCTTTAACTTGGAGATCCAATCTCAGTTGTCCAGTTGTGAAGATTTGACTGTGATCTAAGTAAGAAATGATTATGGTAGCAGCAATCAAGATAGAGAGAAGAGAAGGATTCCAGAGATATTGAGGAAGTAGAATGAATGGATAGGACTTGTGACCTACTGGGTTTGCAGCAAGGAAGACAATGAGGTTAAGGCTGAATGGTTGAAGATGTTACTCATCAAGATATATTTATAGGTAAAGGAGCACAAGGTTGTAAAGATAAGATCATTAGTTCCATTTGGGATTTGAGTTTGAAATACCTGTGGCCATCCAAATGATAGTGTCCAAAAGATGTTTGTATATATGGATGTGGAGTATAGGTGACTTCAGAGGTGAAATTACAGATTTGGCATTTAGAATATGGTTAATAGTTTAAGCCACAGGAGAAGTTGAAAATATCAAGAGGTAGAGTGTTGAGGCAGAGAAGACAGCCTGAAATTAGAATCCTGGACTGGATAGTCCAGAATGGCCTCTGTCACCTGTCTGACAGTTGGCTGTGGCTTGTTGATCTTAGTTCTTTTCTTTTCATGGCCTCCTATTCCCCGATAAGCTAGACTAGGCTTTTTTTCATGGTGGCAGAATCTTTTCAATAGAGTGAAGGCAGAAGCTGTCAAGGCCTCATAAAGTTTTGCTTTGGTCATCACAGAGTCACTTTCATTGCATGTTATTAGTCAAAGCGAGTCAGGAGGCCAGGCCAGATTCAAAGGGTGAGGAAATAGACTCCGTCTCTTGGTGAAAGGAGCTCCAGAGTTACCTTGCAAAAGGACGCAACATGGTCTCTCACACATAGCTGACATGTGCCAGGTCTGTGCTAGGCTAGAAATGCGTTCTGCATTTAAGTTTTAAACTGTGTTGCATATTTTCCTTCTGCCTTAAAGGACATGAAAATGCCTTAAAGGACATGAAAACAACAACAAAAAATTTCTTTAGTTTTACTTTTGAAAAATAGAGATAGGATCTCGTGTTGTTGCCTAGGCTAGTCTCAAACTCCTAGGCTCAAATGCTCTTCCTGGCCGGGTGTGGTGGCTCAAGCCTGTAATCCCAGCACTTTGGGAGGCCAAGACGGGTGGATCACGAGGTCAGGAGATCGAGACCATCCTGGCTAACACGGTGAAACCCCGTCTCTACTAAAAAAATACAAAAAAAAATTGGCCGGGCGATGTGGTGGGCGCCTGTAGTCCCAGCTACTCGAGAGGCTGAGGCAGGAGAATGGCGTAAACCCGGGAGGCAGAGCTTTCAGTGAGCTGAGATCTGGCCACTGCACTCCAGCCTGGGTGACAGAGCGAGACTCCGTCTCAAAAAAAACAAAACAAAAAAAAACAACAAAAAAAAACAAATGCTCTTCCTGCCTCAGCCTCCCAGTGTTGGGATTACAGGCATGAGCCATCATCCCCATCCTAAAACAAAATTTAATGGGATTCTCTTTCTTTTCTGCCTTTTTTAAAAAAAATTTTTAGTTTCTAATTTTTGTGGTTACATAGTATCTATTCTGCCTAACTATTGATTTTAAAGATTTCCAAAGAACAGTTTAAGGATTTTTTTTTTTTTTTTTGAGATTGTAGATTTGGCATGCTGTTTGCATGTGTGCTTATGTGTTTATTCTCTCTCTGTTTCTCTCTCTCTCTCTAAACACATATTTTTATTTTTAGTTCAACTTTGATTTTAGATACAGAGGGTACATGTGTAGGTTTGTTACATGAGAATATTGTGTGATGCTGAGGTTTGGAGTATGGATCCTGTCCCCCAGGTAGTGAGCATAGTACCCAACAAGTAGTTTTTTTTAACCTATCCCCACTTACTCCACCCTCTAGTAAATCCACAGTGTCCATTGTTCTTATATTTATGTCTATGTGTACTCAATATTTAGCTCCCACTTATAAGCGAGAACATGCAGTATTTGGTTTTCTGTTCCTATGTTAATTTGCTTAGTATTATGGACTCTAGCTGTATCCACGTTGCTGCAAAGGACATGATTTCATTCTTTTTTATGGCATATAGTATTCCATGGTGTGTATGTACTATATTTTCTTTATACAATGTACTGTTGATGGACACGTGGACCAATTCAATGTCTCTGCTATTGTGGATAGTGCAGAGATGAACATACGAGTGCATGTATCTTTTTGGTAGAATGATTTTTTTGGGGGGTATGCATTTATTTATACATCTATACACACACATACACACCTACGTGTATACATACATGTCATACATGTATGATAATTTATTGCCTTTACCCTTCAAAGTACAAAGTAATTGATACCATGTTAACAAGTTAAGTAACAGTGATAAACTTATGAGAAGCCCATTATCTCACTCCTCCCACCCCTAATTCCCAAGGAAGCCAACACTGACAGTTCAGCATAGTATTCTTCCATACTGTCCTCTCATGTTCGTATGTGCAAACATTTGTAGAGGGTTTTTTTTTGTTTTTGTTTTTTAAGGAAAATTGAATCCTACCATACCCTCTCACTGCATAACTTGCTTTTATCGTTTTGGGGGCATATCATCAGTGTGGTTCTAGTTCAATAGAGATATAACTCTTTTTAGTAACCACATAATACACCTTAGTATATATAGACCACAGGATATTCCAACCATTTTCCTATTGTCAGATATTTTAGGCTGTGTAATGTTTCCCCACACTGTAGTTAAACTGAATAAACATCTTTTACTTCTAGGCTTGCAAACCTTACAAGAACTACCTGGGTCAAAGAGTATAACTCTGTTGAATTTTAATAGGAATGCCATATTACTTCTTTATAAGGTTGTAGTAATTCATATTTCTAAAAGCAGAATGAAGAAACTAAAGAAGCAACACCTTATTCTTTGCCTAAAATTATAAAAAAACACAGAAAATACTTTTCCCTTAGTGGACAATATATATAGGCTCCAGAAAATTATTTGCTGCAACCAAATCAACAAAACAGTATTTTATAAGTGATCTATTGATAACTTCTGATTGCTTTTTAAAGTGTGTTACTGAATGGCATTTTAAAAAAGTAAAAGGAGTTTTTAAGCTCTTCAGTATCATTGTCTTAAGATATTAATGTATCATTATTCTACTTACTTTGATCATTGCTTTCTTAGAGTTATTTGATTAATGGACTGTTTTAATCTTGACAGGAGGTTGAAACCTACTTTTTTGAGGGTCTGCTGAAATGGAGAGAATTAAACCTCACGGAGCACTTTGGTATTTTCTGTTTTGTTTCTATTTTATTCACCCATAGTTTGCACTTTATATGTTCCTTACAGCTGAATAGTTGTGTGATAGAAAAGAACGTATTTTTTTTTCCCCCACTCAGGAAAATTTTACAAAGAAGTTATTGACAAATGCCAATCATTCAATCAGTTGGTCTATCATCAAAACGAGATAGTTCAGAGTTTGAAGACTCACCTGCAAGTTAAGAACAGTTTTGCTTATCAGCCCCTTTTGGAGTAAGTAGCATCTTGAGAGAAAGCTCATAACTCTATTTGTCTGATTTTTCAGATTGTGTTTCAAAGCTACATATGCCTCAGATCAGGTGTTCATAATTTAGAAACAAGAAGGATGTTCCTTTTCTGTTAGGAATGGGTGCATTACCATAAAGTAGAATCTTGGGGTATAATTTTGCTTTTGTTATGTACTAAAATAATCCCATTTTTCTTTGACATTATAGGAACAGTTGGCTACAACTTGTGATGGAATGTAACTTCTTGCCTGATTTCTTTGCTGAGGTCTTAAGATTTAAAGAGTTTTATAAATTTTCAGACTTGAATTAGAATTATTTTTATTTAATTAATCCTATGATCGTAGGCCACCTAGTATCGTTAAGTAGATTTGCAGCCTTTAAAAAAAAATCCACATAATCAGTTGCTTCTTTTTTTTAATCCAGTTTGGTTGTACAGTTGGCACGAGATCTGCAGATGGATTTCTACCCACACTTTCCAGAGTTTTTTTTGACTATCACCTCGATCCTGGAGACTCAGGACACAGAGTTGTTAGAATGGGCTTTTACCTCGTTGTCATATCTTTATAAGTACCTGTGGAGACTGATGGTGAAGGACATGTCCAATATATACAGGTAACCGCTTTCTCTCTCTAGTACGTTTTTTAATTGCCTGCTTCTTTTTCTCTGGCTTCTCTCTGACTCCAAACCACTTTGCCAGCTCAGTGCCTAATTGTTTCCATGTACAAAGTTGATGCTCCAGCCAAAGTGGTCCACAATCTAGTCTGCCATTCTGAGTTGCCATAACCATCTCTCCTCTCCAGCTACTGAAAGTTTACCCACCCGTGAAGGCCTGACTTGGTCCCTACAGCCTCCACAAACAGGCACCTTTGCTAGAGGTATTAATAAAACTTTATACTCTCTATCCTCTTGGCATTTTTTAACCACCTGTGTCACACAACTTTTACCAGAATTGTTTGGTTATAATGTATTGCTGTCCTCTCTACACCTGGTTTAAGTGAGGTTTAAGACAGGCTAAGAACCTTTTAAACATTGACATTTCCTCAGTCACTAATACTTCCTAAGCTGAAAGAGACACTCAGTATTTGTGAGTAAACATGGACAAGGAAAGAGAATGAATTTCGTAGTAGCCTTTTGTTTAAAGTAAGCAAAGATTGTCTTACTATCTGTTTAAGTCTGGGGTTTGGTGGGATTTTCCACCTGGTCTTCTGGTTGTTTTCATGTTCTGTAATTGCCACAGGAATGTTTAATATCAGTCATCAGCCTCTTACCCCCCAATAAATGGTGTGTGTATGGTATGGGATGATAGACTTTGTTTTATGCCACCCCTTTCACTCAGCCCACCCTTCTCTTTTAGGAACTTTGAATGAAGAAAGAGAAAGAAATCTTTTTCCAACTTTTACTAGTTCCCTATGAAGCTTTTGGTAAAATATGTTAGAAACCAATATTATCTCATTAAACAACCAACAAGGTCTTTGGGGAATAATTGATTTAGTTTTGTGATTTCAGCTGTCATAAAAACTGCCACTTTTATGTCTCCTAAGTCAGGCTCTTCAGTTCTAAATTTATTTGCTTTTGGTATGACAACTTCAGTAGCTTGGCTGTTTTTACTTGCATATTACTGAAACTGAACTCAACACTTATTGTTAAATCAACTCCTCTTATCTGTATATTCATTCATGTGTTCAGTAAATAGGTGTTGAGTGTCTACCATATGCCAGGCCCTGTTTGGTTGCCCATTTTCTATCATTAATACTAACATTCTTCCTGTCTCCGAGTTTTGGCATATCAGAGACATCATTGACCCAGTTGTCTTCAGAGGTGTCCACATCCTCTTGATTCTGTCATTCACGCATTTGCTCAGTAAATATTTATTGGACACTGTCTGTATGTCAGGCGCTTGAGATGCAGTCACAGGTAAAACAGATAAAAATCCCTCTTCTCACAAAGTTGACATTTTAGCAGGGGGAGAACATCTTGGGCACATGCCCGGCAAGAAGTTGTGGGTGGCCAAGCAGCCTGTATAAGGGCGAGAGTAGCTACGCAATGTCAGAGAAGCAGTAGTAAGGGGCCAGATCATCCAGGGCCCTGTGGACTGCTGTAAGGTCTTCAGCTTCATTGCAGGGACTTCTGAAATGTCTACTGAGTTCATTCCTTGCCATTTCCCTCTCCTTCCAGTCTCTTTCATGCCTGTAGCCCAAGCTTGTATGACTTGAGCAGCTTTCTGATTGAATTACCAGACTCTTTCCTCCTTTATTTTATCCTGTATATTGCTGCCAAATTAATCTTTCTGAAAATAGTCATTTCTCATTCAGCCAACATTTATTAATACCTGCTGTCAGCAAGGAACTATTAGGTATTGGGGTTATGGCAAAAATTGGAGAGATCTATTCCATACCCTTCTATCATTAGGGAGACCAAATTTAACAATGTGATTACATATAAGTAATTATTTAGTTATGGATGCATGGCTGCTTGACCTTGAGCAAGTTGCTTATGCTTTCTGCCTCACTTTCGTTATCTGTAGAATGGGGGGATTATAATAGTACCCATCCCATAGAGTTATTGTGCTGACTAAATGGAGTAACACAGAGTAAGTGCTTACACAGATGTAAGCTAGACCTGTCTACCTGACCAGCTTTATCCACAGCTGCCCTCCTCTGCTGTATCATATTTTCTTTTTTAGATGGACCAGCCTCCTTGTCATGACCATGATCATTTCCGCCTGCCCCATCTTAACTCTTGCTTTTATACCAATAATATGGACTGTGGTCCCCACCTAATTCTTCTTTCATTCAGAATTCATTACACATTGCACCTTTTCATGGAGTCTTGTTCGTAAAACCAGTACCGCCAGTCCTCGGACTCTTAATGTCTGTGGTCAAGTCTTCCTTTCAACATGTGGGTGTCTCCATAAATGAATGAGATTTTAAATTTGTTTGATACCTGCTGTGTATTCCTGGCATACTTAGCACATTGTTGCCCATATTGTTGACATGTAGTATGTATTTATAAAAATTATATGATTAATGAAACATATCTTATTTTTTTTTCATGTATAGCATGTACAGCACACTCCTGGCTCATAAGAAACTACATATAAGGAATTTTGCTGCTGAAAGTTTTACTTTTTTGATGAGAAAGGTTAGTCTGATATTTTATGTTTGTTGCTAATCATCAAGAATCTGATGAATAGGCCTCACTTTGGGAGGCCGAGGTGGATGGATCACCTGAGGTCAGGAGTTCGAGATCAGCCTGACCAACATGGCAAAACCCCATCTCTACTAAAAATGCAAAAATTAGCTGGTCATGGTGGCGTACACCTGTACTCCCAGCTACTCGGGAGGCTGAGACATAGGAATTGCTTGAGCCCAGGAGGTGGAAGTTGCAGTGACCAAGATCACACCGTTGCACTCCAGCCTGGGCGACAGAGCGAGATTCCATATCTCTCTCTCTCTCTCTCACACACACACACTAATAATAGTAATAATAATCTGATGAATGGAAGTAGATCTCTTAAAAATGTGGTTACTATGGGCTAATTTTATCTATGTATCTGTATATTACTTAACAGAAATCTGTTACTATTTTGAATTTATCTCACAGTAAGACTTATTTGTTGCTCACAAATTGATGTGATCTAATTTGGGTCACTATTGTTATTTAGGTTTGTGATAGCTTTCAGTGTGTATATGTCAAAAGTGCTGTCTAATTCAAGTCAGTAAATACATGAACTGTGACATTAATAAGAACTTTTCTAATAGTTTCTTGGAAGTAACTGGTAGCATGATGTCATTTGTGTTTGTATAAAATGTTCATAGTAAATTTTAGAGGGTTTTTGTAATAAAAACATTAATATTAAATTTATTTTATTTCATAAAATGCAAATATTTTACTGTATACAATACAAAATACAAATTTATTTACTTTAAAAGATAGAATGTTGACTTCTGTAGTTTTTTATAGTGCATATCTTCCCATAATACCAATGAATTCACTCTTTTGTGTGACATTCCAAGTGAGAATACACTGTTAGAGTAGTTTGAAATCATTACAAATGTCTGTTCCTTTGACAATTTTTTCCTAAGTATATTTAAATAAGAATATGTAGAGTAGCAAATGAGAGTTCTTCATTTGGATATGTTTATGTTTGTGAATATAATTTTCCATTTCTACTTTACATTTTAGGTCTCTGATAAAAATGCACTTTTCAATTTAATGTTTCTTGATCTTGATAAACATCCAGAAAAAGTCGAAGGTGTTGGACAGTTGCTCTTTGAAATGTGCAAAGGAGTTAGAAATATGTTTCACTCCTGTACAGGCCAGGTACACAACGGGGAGGGGTTCTTAGAGTCTATGTGGATGGATGAAGCAGAAAGTAGAAAAGAATGAGGCAAATGATGTGGAGGGAGGACAACCTAGAATAGATAGAAAGCCCTGGATGGGGAGTGTTGGGTGTTCAGTAACAATGCTTACCCAATGTAGGCCTTGGACAATGAGATATTACTTACCGAGTCATTGATGTCTTCTTTATTTTGGATGCTAGGGGGTAAGATAAATTGATTAATGGGCAAAGGCAGGTGGGGAGGGAACAGTTGTAATGATAAAATTCCCATCCTAGTTTAGAAGTTCCTTTTGGGACACATTATTAACCATCAAAGTTGCCATATCCTTGACTATTACAGGCCTGATTTTTAGCTAATGTAATCACAATGGTGACTCACAGAGCAATACTTGAAAATAAGAGTTTATATATTAATGTTAATGACTTGTATTCCCACAGGCAGTGAAGCTAATTTTGCAAAAGCTAGGACCTGTCACTGAAACAGAAATTCAACTACCATGGATGTTAATTGGAGAAACACTCAAAAACATGGTCAAATCCACTGTATCCTACATCTCCAAGGAACATTTTGGTACATTTTTTGAGTGTTTGCAAGTGAGTTCTAATCTTTAAGGATGGGTTTTTGATAAGGAGTCTAAGAATTTACCCTTTCTGCTCTCAGTTTTGCAAAGCACTCCTAGAAGTTATATTTTATAATTGTTTTATTTACACTTCTCTACACATACTAAAATTTTCCTTCCCTCTGCCCTCGTGCTATTTTTTATTTGATATGGTATCTTGAAATGCAGTAGAAGACTCTGGAGCCAGACTGCCTATTTGAATCTTGACCCTTCCACTTACTGCTAGTGTGACCTGGGAAAATTATTTGAAATCTCGATTCCCCAGTCTCTTCATCTAATAAATGGGGGTAATGATATTCTCTCCCTCGGGGTTTCTGTGAGGATGACGAGTGAATACTTGTACAGAACTTAGAATGGGCCGGGCACAGTGGCTCAAGCCTGTAATCCCAGCACTTTGGAAGGCCAAGGTGGGTGGATCACCTGAGGTCGGGAGTTTGAGACCAGCCTGACCAACATGGAGAAATCCTGTCTCTGCTAAAACTACAAAATGGCACATGCCTGTAGTCCCAGCTACTTGGGAGGCTGAGGCAGGAGAATCGCTTGAACCTGGGAGGCAGAGGTTGCGGTAAGCCAAAATTGCGCCATTGCACTCCAGTCTGGGCAACAGGAGGGAAACTCCATCTCAAAATAAATAAATATATATATAAACACTTAGAACAGGGCACTTAGTCAATGTTAGCTGTTACCATTAGTGACTCCTGGTAAATGTGGCTTTTTCTTCCAAAGCAAAAGAATGGGAAAAGTTGAACTGTCACACAGTTTTTATTATTGTATTAACAGTTGAGTTTGATACTTTATAGTTACTCTCTCTGTTAAATTCTTTGTTTGCAGGAATCACTCTTGGATCTACATACAAAAGTAACAAAAACTAACTGTTGTGAAAGTTCTAAACAGATTAAAAGGTTGTTGGAAACATACCTTATACTTGTAAAACATGGAAGTGGAACAAAGATAACCACGCCTGCTGATATCTGTAAGGTGAGTTCCCAACTTAATATTCTCAAGAGTCTGTTTTTTAAAAGCTGATTACTGAGTATACATTGTTTTATCTTTTTGCAGGTGTTATCTCAAACACTGCAAGTAGCCAGTCTCTCCACATCTTGCTGCAAGACCCTCTTGGATGTAATTTCTGCTTTGATCCTGGGTGAAAATGTTTCCTTGCCGGAGACCCTCATCAAAGAAACCATAGAAAAAGTAATTTACTTCAACACATATTAATTGAGCAGTTAATAATATATTTAGCATTGAGTAAACCTTCTGAGGGATGCAAGTGAAGTGTGACAAAGGCTCTGCCCTGAAGGAATTTATAATCTTGTTAAGGAGATGGGAATTGTATGCAGTAATGTAAATAAGCAAAATGTGGCAAAAGCTAAATCTATACATATTCTGCAAATATGTAGAGCTTACCGTGTGCTGGGTATGAGCTGGGTAATCCAGGATGAACAGTGATGCCTGTAGGTTTTGATAGTTGTTGGAGAAATGGAGCCTGGAACTGAGTAGTTATAGTCTAGCCAATGTGTCTATTAGAGATATATTGAATTTTAACTATTACTTCTGCCTGGGGTTGAGCAACAGAGAAAGCTTCTCAAAGGACTTGTGTTTGGGATAGTCCTTGAAGGTTGAAAAGCAGTCTGCCAGCCAGAAGCCGGGTTACAAATACTAGGAGAGGGAACAGGAAAGACATGTGTTCATAAATGTTTGCAGTCTGGGCACATGGACACATGATATGACATGATATCAGCAAAGCTCTGGCTTGGCTTTGAAAAGTTACGTTGGGTTTTATCCTGCATTAGTGGAGGACCCTGAAAAAATTCCAAGCAGGGATATGATTTGATGAGATTTGCGTTTTAGTGAATTTGAAAGTGGGATTGAAAATAGAAAGGTTGGTGAAGTTCTTTCTAGCTTAATGGAGCGCTGCAGTACCCTTTGAGGGAAGATATACAATCATGCTGTTTGCGCTTTCATAACTCACTGTAGCTGGGTAAGAGTTGAGCAGCCTTTAGGCAGAGCCCTGTGTAATCAGCAGAAGCCCTTTGCATCTGTGGAAGCGCCTTTGGAGAAGGCTGGGCGATTGGACAGAGCACTGAGTGAAGTGTGCCTGCCGTTCCCTTCTATAGCTGCTTGCTGGGGGGATGGGGAAGTACTCTCTGTGTGCTTACATTAATCTTTTTTACCTTGGTCACAGATATTTGAGAGCAGATTTGAAAAACATTTGATTTTCAGTTTTTCTGAAGTCATGTTTGCCATGAAGCAGTTTGAGCAGGTAAGCAAGATACTAAGTTCAGAGTATTTTTTAAAACAAATCTATCACGAAAAAATGATCAAATTTGAAATCCTGTTGTTTGTTTTTTGAGAGGAACAGGATAAGTGCTTGATGTTTTAGTCAATATGTTTTTTAAAGAAATTATATTCAATTCTAGATTACTTGTTTTTTAAATAATCCTTTAGATAGTTACAGAACCATGTGGTAAAATTGAAAAAACAGTTTAAGAAACTTCTATGTGATTTTGAAGCATAGAAAATAGTTTGTGAAACAATTTGCACTGGCGGAAGTTTGCAAATTGATTTCATTGCTCCAAAATAAGGTAACTGAGTGTGGGAGAAAATGATCTTATCTAAACCTGGATTTATTTTATTTTTTTCTCTTCCTTCTCATCAAACACTTGCCCCTCCTCCTAACTAGTAACCCTACAGTATACTTCATGGAAACATGTCTCTGTATCTGTCCTCTCAATATTCTTCCTGTTAGCCTTTGATAATGTATATTCTCATTTGCCTAAAAAGAACACTTTTGTACCTGTCCAAGATCTGTTTCTTTCAGCTCCATGAGAACACTTCAGCTGACTGTTTAACAACTGCGTTTTTCCTTTCTCCCCTGTTGCCTTTGGTCTTTTTTTTTAAATCTTATTTTTATCCAAATACTACATGTATGTATGTAGTTTAGGAAGTCAAACCAGGTTAAACAGCAGTCATTTCTGTTCCCATTTTATTAGCAGCCATTGGATCTAATGATTTTTAGCTATTTTTTTCTTTTCTT